TATTAGCATCACTCATATAGTGGTGATTATGCAGTGGACAGAACACTCTTCCTTTTAATTTTCATGATTAATAAAAATTTAGAAAAGACAAAGACAGAAATGTTCAATTCCCAAACATTTTTGGAGAACATCAACTGAATCTGGATCTGTCCCAATGAGCTGGTGTCATTTAGCAATGGGCTACTTTTGTGGTGACGGCACTTCTAGTGCTGTTACTCTAAAAAACATGGCACCAGTACTATACGCAATCGTGTCCACTTGGAGTCATTTCTATTGGTTCTGCTGATACTCAGCAAAGATGTAAGGGCCTGTGCTATCTCGTGTGATCTGATTCATCAGAGGGCAGGTTTTATGGTAAGAATACTAGCACTCCGCTCAGTAAAAGTTTTATGTCTGTGTATCTGCTTTATATACTCACCGAACAGAAACAGCAAAACCACCACCCAGAGCTACTGTATCACCCTTTGCTATTAAAGCTGTTTGCTGGATATTATGGAGGAAAACATGAAGACAGGGGGGAAAAAAAAAGAAATAAAATGAAAAGTGAAGTCTGGAATTTTAATTTCTTCCCCTGTATGCATACTTACTGAATGGTTTTAACTCACGGCTACCCCAAGGAGAGTCACAGCAAATAGAGGGAAAATGCTGTCTGGATAAAAGTATTTGCCTGTTTGCATGACCTGTTTCATATTCATTTAAAAGTCTGATACCAAGCGGATGCCCCACAATAATGATAAACCTAATTTATTTCCAATTTCTCAAACTATTCTACAGATTTCAGGCAGCACAATCACAGCCATTAGCTCACTAAGCCTGGATGCATCATTGAAGGAATGGAATTGATCAGGCAGATAGATTGCAGTGCATGGTTAAGACTCTAAGAAGGGAGATGGCAGAAATCCAGACATCAAATAGATGATGAAATGGCCATTTCCATTAAGGGAACATCACATCACAGATATTAATTAGGAGGCACTATAATAAAGTTAAGTGGATTTGGAAAAAAATGCTGAGTTAAAAGTCACCCCAAATGTCCTTAGCCTGAGGTAATTACAGATCTGAAGGTGAGTCATGGGTCTGCAATTTTCCATTCGTTTTACAATGGCTGCAGGTAAGTTAGAGACACATAATTCCAGAGGGATCCTTTTCTAGGCCGGGAGCAAACTATCTTTAAAAACAAAAAAATTCTAATGTTCCCAGGGGAAATGACATCCATTATTTTCAGCAACATTAATGGCAGACGACAAGAGACTTACCACTTTCCTAGGGGAAGAGAAATGAAAATAAAACAAATTAGCTACGAGTTTAAATGCCTAGCATTTTACCAAGTTTTTAATTTCAAGGATGTAAATTCATCTTAAACATTGATAGGATTTTTTTGTCAAGTCTTCAGTTCAAGTTTAGCTTAACTGCTAGAAATTAAAAATCTTTTTAAAAACATTCTATTTATTTTGTTGTTGTTGTTGAGAATATACACAGCAAAACATATACCAATTCTACAATGTCTACATGTACAATTCAGTGACACTGATCAGATTCTTTGAGTTGTGCAACCATTCTCATCCTCCTTTTCTGAGTTGTTCCTCCCCCATTAACTTAAACTCACTGCCCCCTAAATTTCCTATCCAATCTTTCAAATTGTTATTGTTGATTTGATCCCATACAGATAGATCAGAATTAAAAATCTTTTAAAGTCATATTGGATATAACCAAATTTTGGGGACAGCCGCATTCCAGACCTTTATAGCTCCCTACAACAGCATGAAACCAAAATTCAAAGTATTTAGTTGTCCAACATTGCTACGGCTTATTTTTAATTTTTTGTTTTATAATTCCTTGTACCTTCTCCTCCCGCAATGTGCCCGAATTACATCCTTCGTATCTGCCCACATAACAAATTCAGAAAGATGGCCAATGTGTGCACTGGGCAAGGTTGAGTCTAGAAGGGTTTTGTCTTTCCAAGTTAATACAGCCTGGATCACAACTTCAGCATTCTGGATAAAATGCTTCAAATCATTAATTTCAAAGAGCTGAGACTCTCCAAGCAGAAATTTCTTTGCCGAGGTTCCAATCTTAATTTCTAACATAAACTCAGACAATTAACGATCTTTGTTTTTTGTTTTACTTCACCAAAACAGCAGAATCACAGAGATTTTATAAGAAATAATATGTCTAAATGATTTAGAATAACTTGTTAAAAACTCTTTTACCAATAGATGTTTACAAGATATAGAGACATCAGTATAAAACGACAGAGCAAACACGTCTGAAATTGTCTCCTCCGTAAAAGCAATGAGAACACTGGCAAAAATGGTCAGAATCCACTTCTTCTGAACTTTGGTGGAAATCAACCAAAGGCTGGCAGCAATCCAGGGAGCGTTTATTCAAGGAAAACCATCTGAGTTTTATGGCATTTTAACTTGCCCTATTTCCATTCCCCTCTCCCTAGCTCTGCAGCAGCCCTCAAGACCAGTGGCCTGTAATCACAGTAAAAAACCAGCACTCTGACAGCCACTGGAGGAGGTAAAAGAGTAGAAAACCTCTTTCAAAGTCCCACTCTCAAAGACTATTTGACTCTCAAAGATTATTTGACCTCTGGCGGTTCCCTGGAAGACTCCACTTGTAAAACCGCCTTTATTTGACCTGACTCAAAGCTTGCCCAGTGTGAAAACCCTATTTCGCCCCAGGGTGTTTCTTTAAAGCAATTATAGGCAATTGTTTAACATTGTGGCTGCTTGAGGCAGTGCATAATGGCTGGGACAAACAATAGGCCAATGAAAAACTTTAAAAGGAAAAGCTAAGGAGTGAGATGTCCATAGGAGGCTTTGAAAAGCTCTAACACATTCCTGGGAATACAGACAGACATGCCCAGGGCTGTGCTTATGATCAGGAAAGACCTGAAAAGACCCTAAGCTCTCACTTCTGGCTGATCTTGAGGCTCTGCATAACCAGGAGTGAAGGCTAAGGCAGAGTTGTCAACTGCCAGGTAGAATGTTGAAGGTGTGGGCCAACATGCACACAACACATACAAAGTCCCTTGGCAAAGTCTGGAAGACTTACTGGTTCCAGGCGTTTAAGAAAACCTCTGTCCAATCATTAACTGACACAAATCTAACTGATCAGAGACTTCAGTAGCCACATAAGACAAAGAATACAAACTCTACAGAATTAGTTCAAGAAAGTCAATAAATAAACAACAGCAACAACAACAAACTCTGGGGAGAGAGAAAAATCTGAATTCCACAGTACCACATTACATTATTTAAATATCTATTTTTCAACAAAAAAATTATGGGACAAGCAAAGAAACAAGGAAGTTCTTGTTTATACCTAGGAAAAAAGCAGACAATAGTAACTGTTTCTAAAGAAGCCCAGATGTCTTTAAATCAGCTATTTTAAATATGTTCAAAGAACTAAAGGAAAGTATGACAATGATGCCTCATAAATAGAGAACATCAATAAAAAGATACAAATTATATACTAAAAAAAGAACCAAGTAGAAATTCTAGAGTTGAAAAGTACAATAAATAAAAGAAAAAACTCAGTAGAAGGGTTCAACTGAAGATTTGAGGGGGCAAAAAAATTAGTGAACTTAAAGACAATTGAGGTCAATTGAGATTACTCAGTCTGAGAAACAGAAAGGAAAAAAAAAATGAAAAATGAACAAAGTCTCAGAGACCTATGGTAAACCATCAAGTGTAGCAACAAACGTGTAACAGGAGTTACAGCAGGAATGGAGAGAAAGGCGCAGAAGGAATATTTAAAGAAATAATGGCCAAAACCTTCCTAGATTTGACGAAAAACATTTCAACATTTAAAAAGCTCAATGAACCTGAAGTAGGATAAAGTCAAACAGTCATAATCAAAACTCATAATCAAGCTATTGAAAGACAAAGAGAGAATTCTGAAAGCAAAACGTAAGGAACAAAACTGGGGTACTCTCCTGAGGGTTGCTACAAACGTACCTGGGGCAAAGAGTGGCTTCAAGATTAGACCTTGGGGTCTCAGTTTTGCCATATACCTCTTTGGAGGTAATTTAGCTGAGTACACACTCGATATAACTCACAAGGGATGGTTTTCTCCCATTAGGGTCTTTTGAAATAACAATAAACCAAATTTTCTGACTCAGGTAGAACTTTAGTCTCTTACACCTAATCTCAAAGCAGGAATAGATTTCAAGACGAAATAAGAAACCCACTTTTGCAGAAAAAAAAAAAAAAAAAAAACCAAGGTATCAGCAATAGATGGCCGATTATGGTTTTACACAGGAATGTTCTTTTAAGCACTCAAATAAAAGGCTTAATTTACCTTTTGTGGCTGATTAAGAGTCCCTTAAGAGCTATGACTTAATCAGTTATTTTTTTTAGTATCTCATTCACAAGGAAATACTGTGACATACTGACACCTCAATTTGAAGAAATTTAAGTAAATAAAAGCAATTTTAAGTCTCTATAACAGGCCTAAAGTATGAGTTTGACTAAATTTCCCCCTTTCCTCTCCCACATTAACTTAAAGAAATCAAGGAGATGCAATAATGTATCACACCTTCTCTCTTAGGACGAGAAATCAGGGTAAACATAATACTGATTTATTTCCCTTCTATAAAGCTCACTGTTGTACTGACTTTCTCCAAACACTATAATTAAGCCTTTTATATTTATACAGTGTCTTCATATTGAACTGTAACACATGACTTTCAAAATCGAAGAAAAATAGAATACATGCTCAAAGGCATACTATTTTCTTTTGAAGAGCAGTATTATAAAATTTTAAACTGAAGTGTAACTGAATCATTTTTATCCCTGTTCCTCAGATAAAGATGCAAAAAAAAAAAAGTGGGTGTAAATGTCCTTCTCAAAATTAGATTTGAAAAATAAGACTGTAACAATTTCAAAAAACAGGTACAAATAAAAGAGTGAAAATACTTTCACTAATGCCCATAGTAAAGTCACATCTGAATGGAGAAAACTAACACATTGTTCAGACTTCCCAAAACTAACCTGTGATGATAAGACATTCATTGTGATCCAGCACCTCAGTGAAGAGTCGTGACACAATCAGCTCAGGATTGATTAAAAATCGGATTTCTTCCTGCACGAGTCCTGCACTGGTTACGCCACCTCCAACAAAACGATTTGCAAAATCCACCTACATTTGAGAAAATGTGGCATGTTAAATGATCTTAAAAACCCACATAGATGATAAAGAAGCACACTTCCTCTAAGCTCTAATCTTTTCCTTTCCCATAAAACACAATTCTCAAATTAGTTATCTTCCCTGGCAAAACAGATTACTTTTGCTTGTACTCTTTCATTTCATTGCAGTTAATATTTCTGCACGTTTCTTTGTATCTCAAAATATTAGGAGGGACCTGGAAAAATGGAGCTTTTAGGTACTTCTACCTAGTAAGCCTCAATGTATTTTATGGACTTTTATCTATAAACCTTATTTGTGCCTCAGGAGCAAAAATCAAGGGAGATCTTTACCTGTAAAGGTTTCAAGACCATTTCCCAATCATTCACTCAATTTCCCTTTATGTGTTTCATATGATTTTAATATAATACCTTTCTTACATAACATATAACGAACATTTGTCCTGTACAAATGAAAGTTCAGTAATTGATCTTTCCTTTTATAACCTTCTTCTGTGGAAAAATAAAAGAATAGAATTTTTGTCCTTCTAAATTCAGTCCCAAACCCCAAACTGTATGAACATTACAAATCATATATAAAAAAAACTACATCTCCCAACCCCCCAAAAAGGGAAGAAAGACAGAAAACCCAGTTTCACAACAAAGATTCAACTAAATTAATACTTCAAATTTAGTTTAAAACTACCCATGAATTTTCTGTGGAGTGCTCTGATGGCATTCCTAAGCTCCTATTAATAAAGGTGAGTTGCATAATCCTCAAAAGAAAGCAAACTCAACCTATCAGCATTATTTCAGTTCACCTTAAACTTACTCCACACTACAACGTGTGTGACTCTATGTCCTCTGGGGCAACACATAAGAAATGGTTTCCGTCTCTGCTTTAGATTACTCTACTTGAGGAGTGAAGACTATACACAGGCACACAACTTGTGCATATACAGTCATACACACAAATAAAACAATCTATTAAGTACAGTAAGGGAGGCTTGTATGCTTTCAGACTCTTGTCAAATATAGCTTTAAGCTTGGTTTTGTTTTCTGAAGCAATCATGATATTAAATGATAATCTGAAGCCTATTTGACACACAAAAGAGTAAAACAAGAATATGAACCTTTTGATATGTAAAAATATATGTGAAAGAAACTATTAGAAGACAAAATAAAAATAGTCCTCTTCCACCGAAGAAGAATTTGGAAACTACTGAAAAATACCACTGGACAAGTTCTTGAAATGAGCTACCACAGAGAATAATATATTGGAGTTTATTTTCTGGAGTACTACATCAATGCCAAAAAGCAGCAACTCTTCAGTGCATATAGAAAAACAGTTTTAGCGAAGCTACTCAGTTGATTAGAATTACTTATCTACTATATATGAAATCTTTATGCACTGGATCATCTATGGCTTAAGCTGTTCCATTCAACAAATATGTACCGACTACTGTACGGAACCAGGGGAAACAAAAATGAGTAAAACCAGGTGCCTGGCCTCACAGCATTTACACTCTAGATAGGAGTTCGGCACATAAGCAGAATGATAAGATGATTATTAAAGAACCTACAAGTATCTACCTGATACTTCCCAAATAATACAAGTAATTATAATTGGAATATGAAGAGAGGATAGGGAAGCGTTACAGAGAATGTGGCATGCACTCCAGATTTAGCTGCCATGTAGGCTAAGGAAATAATATGCCCAAGGACATAGGGAAAACACAAATGTCAACAGCTATACAAAATAACCGGTCAGCAGATTCCTCATGCTGCCTGCAATGCAGAGTATGCAGAAGGTTACAGTTGGCATGAGGTGGGAAGAGTGGTCTGGGGTCTAGAATGCCATGCTAAGGAATTTTTACTTAAATCTGAACGTTCTGGGAAAGACTCTAAAAAGGAAAGTAACAACTGGATCTGTGTTTTAGGAAGATAATTCAGGCAGGAGTTTAAAGAATAGACTGGAAAAGTACAAGATTAAAAGCAGAGAGGCTGGTTAGATGACTACTGAATAGTTAAGACAAGTACTACTAGGATCTCAAACAGGGCTGTGGAAAACCAAGCAGAGGAGAGAGAGGAGGCCTAGCAAAGCATTAAAATGGACAGCACGTGAGAACCGAGAGCCTGCCTGAGCACCTAGAAATGTAACGGTATTGTGAGTGCAAATGAGAAACAAAGGTTTGGGATGGGCCAGACTTAATTTTTACTGGAACAAGGTACAGAACTAAAATAAAGATAAGCTCTATCCATCTTATGTACTACTTGGTAATGATCAATGAAATACATGCAATGTGTATACAATTGTTCACTCTTTGAACAAAAGGCCAACATTTACTACTTGAAAAGTGTGCATAGAATAAATACACTAAACTCAATATGCCTCTAAAAGCAGGGGTCTTTTAGAAAATCAAAGTTTCTACTACTTAAAGACGTTCTAATAAAAGGCTCGCTATTATAGGTGAGAAACCTGTTCCAGGACATGAAAACAAGCATATAAATGCTTCTATATTTTTAGCCAGTCATTTTCCAACTCATTTTAAAGCTACTTGTTCAGATTACTCAGTTTCTGAATTATAACTTGATGAAAAGAGAGAAATGGTAACACTCCTTAGGTCCTGTTGTTGCCATTCAGCATAATGTAATTTATATTCTACACAAGGAGCTTTGTAGCATTGCAATACAATATTCCCTGATCTCCTGGGGATACATAGCATGGGCAGGGAGAACAATTAACAGCACTAGCAGCCTTTATGGTATTCTTTTAATCTACTGAGGGCTCACATTTCATCTATAATTTATTCCAGGGAAGTGGGGAGAATCTCAACCTTGAATGTTGCTAAGTAATTCCTTGTTGAGTTATAGTGTAATGAAAGGTCAGGATTCCTGTGGTGCTAACTAGCAGTGGCTCTGTTTATTTCATGTGTATTAAGACTCCCTCAGTTAATCCATGACATTAATGTAGGAAAAAACTTCATCAGAAAGGAAATCTGAGGAAAAAGTGATATTCATTTGAAAGAATTTTTAAGCATATTTTAAGATTTTTTAAAAAATAAATGTAAAGGTACTCATTTTTTTTCAAAAGTACAGAACATTATTAAGGAATCCTAAGCATTTTTATGAGCTCAAATAATCACTGGAGAAGGTGATTTAAAACAAAACATACTTTCTCTCTTTGAAGATTTTAATCAGATACACATTAAAAAAAGGCTGTTCTAAAAAGAATATATTTCACTAGACTCTTGGAACATAAGTATAAAATAACTAGCCAAATTACACAAATCGGTGTAGTCATTTTACAATAAACATTAAGTACGTATTCAAACAAATCAGCACATTCTCAGGCCACTGCTTTCTCCAGCTTCTGACCCCGATATAAGGCATCAAATCAAGAGCTAAGAAGAAAAATCTGCTATTCCTAGTATAAATGATGTGCAAATTTTTTTCAATAAAAATTAAATTTACAATGCTCTTATAAATGGGACAAGAATACAAAACATTTTGTCTCCAGTGAATTAAAAAAAAAAAAAAAACACTCGAAACCACGTGCTCAGGTTAGATGATGCAGCATTTTTTAAAAGCGAGATACACAAAGTGTTTTGTTAACCTCTTTTTCCAAAAATATATTTTTTTAAAGTAAAGGCAGAACACAAATCAACAGCAAAGATTGAGCGGTGGACAAAACTACCTGCTCTAAAACTGGGAAACAACAATTAGCAAGCATAGCTGGCTCCCGTCCTAAAACAAACTGTTCTATATGGGAGTGAGGCCTTTCTTATCAATCACTTTTAGACTGTCTGACTCGTAGACCTAAACAAGGCTGTTGGTGGCAGAAAACATCTCAAGTTGGTCATCATTTGGGGCACAGCAGGAACCTTGAAAGAAAAAGAACAAAACTGCCTGGTGACAGCTTGTCAAAAGCATACCCTAGGAACTTCCTCCACTGTCAACCTACAATCAGCGTCTGAACCGAGAAGCCTGATGTTGTCCAGATCCTGGGATTTTTCTGTCAAAAGTTCTTTAAAGAGGCACATGTGAGAAACAGAGAGCGTGCGCTGGCAATAACAACATTACCGAGGCTGTCAAAATGATCTGTTTGGTGTTTTTCTCCATTCTGCTATTATGCTTCTTTGCATTAAATCAGCTTAGGAGATAAACAGACAGCTTCTCAAATTTTCTCTGCTGTCAGAAGCTTGACAAGAGAAAGTCCCAAACACACACACTGCTATGATTCACCTACCTGCAGCATGCCTTGGCCACTTCCTTCTATAGTACCTTCATAAGTGACATGCAACCGAGTCAGGGGCTTTTCATATCTATAATTTAAAAAGACATTCCCTTATTTATTTGTTTAATGACAAGTGATTCACTACAGGAAAATCTGACATTATAGGTAATAATAAAAGAAAAATTGAAACCACACAAATATAAAAAAACAGAAATATATGCCTATTAACATTTTTGGTGTAGATCCTTCAAAGTTTTTTCTTACTCAAATACGTAAATATATGTATTTAAATTAAAAGGGGATTATAAACTCCTCTGAAACCTGTTTTTCCTCTATATGATATCAAAGTTTCTCCTCTTTAAGATAGTTGAAAAACTTCTCAAAATAGAAAAAAAAATTTAAGGAAGGTCTATAAAATTCGATCATTATGCTAGAATTAGCAACCTAAAGAAAACTGTAGAAAGATTTGGCAATAAATCATACACGATTCTCAGAAGGAATCTCCTTTCAGCAATTTCACAAATGCGTATGTGTGGGGGGGGGTGGGGGGGTGGCTTGATGTAAATACATACACACCACAGAAATTCTGATCTATGGTATTTCTATATTAATAAGGTAGACAGATGAACTTAGTACCTATAGGTCATTCAGAAGGCACAGTTATTTTCTTTCCTTTTTATAAACTATGATCACTAAGGTGTTTAGCTGGCTTACATTTAAATTAAAAATCAATTTCATGTTATTGATAGCATTTTATGACATTTTTCCTTATTAGATTTTTTCCCTCATTCACTGAATAAGAAGTATAAATTACAATTAAATGTAACAGATGAGATCTAAGCTAACTGATAGAAATCATACTACGAGCAGTCATAATTTTGGGGGGGTATTATATTTCTTAAAACCATTTAAGAAGTGAGCTGGGGAAGCACTATTCACTCACTGAGATTTGTTCCCCTCCTGGTTTCAACGAGTCTAAATGTATTTCTGGCAAAGCTCCAGCCCAACCAACCGCTACCTTTAAAGTCAGGAGATAATTCAGTGCAGGCTCTGTTCTAAGGACTTTATTTGCATTAATTAATTTAATCACCACAACAAGCCTATTATTATCTCCTTTTACAGATGAGAAAACAAAAGCACAGAAAGCATTTAAGTAACCTGCCCAAGACCAGTAAAGGAAGCCACAAGGATTTGAACCCAGGAATCCTAACTCCATGGTCCAAGCTCTTAACCACTATGCTGCACCTTCAGAAAAATTACTCTGCAAATCTCATGTAGAAAGTAGTACCTAAGTTTGATTTTTTTTAACTTCCTTGTCTTCGGGTCCTACTTTCCTAAAGATATTACTCAGAGGGAGCCCTCCTATGAGGATACTACTGAAAAGATAAAGCATGATCCAGAAATCTGGTTTGTCATTCAGAATTTCAAGGCATAATCCCTTCTGTTTTGAACTATTCCCCATGACTAAAGTTGGCAACTTATAGTAAAGTTGTCAATAAAATTACAAAATTGCTAGAAACTTTTTTTTTTTTTAAAGCATCCTCCAACTTCCTGGTAGGTCCGCCCCTATGGTGGCAGCAAATCCTCCACATCCCTGCCCAGGAATCATAGATGTACACTCCTCTGGCTCTCTGTGATTTACTAAGGCTGGCTAAGGTGTTTACTGATAATCAGGGGTTAACTATAACATGCCAGAAAACTCGGAATTCAGAAAAGTCTCTAACTTCCTGGCACCCATTTAGCCCCTTACTCTTGGGAACACCAACAATCCTCATCTCTTCTTCATCCTCCCTCTTTAAGTGAATGCATGTTCTGGCTCAGTGGAGTCTGGGAGACTGGTTTTAATTACATTCTCCAACTCACTCACAAAGCAGCTCAAACAAAAAAGAGACCAATGAAATAAAAAAGAGTTAGAAAAGGCATCAAGTTAAATTCTATCAAAGTTAAGGGGGGACATCTTGGTCTTACTCAGGGGTAAAGCCACGGCACCTCGTTGACACAGCAGCCTTGCTGATCTCTGCATCTCCACCTAACCCTTCTCTCCCAGATGGTGATCTTGAGCTTATTAAAAATAAGTTCTCTGAGTGATCCTTCCAGATCTACATCAAAGTGACATGAACGTCTGTATTCCCATTAGAGACTAATAGAAGAGCCAAGGAAAACAATCCTCTGTGCTCTCTTCTGGTTGGATAACAGAGCAGAGTGTTACTTTGAGTTCTAGGTACCATATTTTAAGGGGGATCAATAAACAGAAGGTGTATCAGGAGCAGAGATACAGGATTTAGAATATTATACGCAAAATAGAAGGAATGAGTAAGTTTAGTATGGAGAAGAAATGAGTGCACTGTTAAGAGGTAGGGGTGGGTCAAGAAAGTATTTTTAAAGAGCGTCTAATGTTAAAAAAAAAAAAAAAAGATTTATTTATTGTAGCTCTAGAAGAAAGAAACAGGAATAGTGGGGCAGGACAAGGGAGGAAGAGTCATTTGAAAGACAGACTTTTAGTAAACGAGAACATTAGATAATAACACACGCAGCTAACACTGGAATAGGCAAGGTAAAATGGTGAATTTCCCATCACTGAAACTGTCTAATCTCCATCTGTCACAGGTATTATAGAGGCAACTTATATTTTCAGTAGGCAGCTGGACCAGATGACTTCCTGGGGTCTCTTTCATCTCTAATATGCCATGACTCTAAAATGCTATACATATTCGCTTCCTTTTCTGGCTCACTTTTTTTTTTTCCCCTTCAGGTTACTTAATCTTTTATCCACTTTCCTCGATTAATAATCATCTCAGCCATGCCTTCAGCCTGAACTAAGTTAGTTTTTCTTTCACCTCACAATTAAGCATCTTTGATGGCTGAAAACACGACAGGAAAGCCACCTAAGCAGACACGCCTTCTTGAGTTAATCTCCCTTAAGAAAATTGAGGGAAATTAATTTTCATTAATCTCCTTCATCACTAATTCCAAACAAAAGGATTACAAACTATAATAAGAATGATTAGAAAGTGAAAAGGAGAGGCGCTGGTGAACATGAACGCACACCCAAATACTCATGTCCTCACGTTTGTAAAAAGTTGATCCACACTTTAAGTGCACTGGGGATTTGCTCTAGCTTAGGTACCACGTGAACTATTTCAGGGTACTAAGAATGCTTCGAATCTGATTTAAATCATATTGGTTATTAATAACCTCAGTACTCGTAGATTAAAAAAAAAATCCCCAAAACACAACTTCTATAAAATATGCCAGTAGTACACATGGACAACCAAATTTCAAAATTCTTGTCACTCTAGACAAGCACAGTCTATATCATTTTAGTTTAATAAAAAAGGTTCCCCAGAAACTGTAATCCAGACAGAAAAAAACAAATGCTAACCAAAAAAAAAAAGAGTAAGGAGGAACATTTAAATATTGGTGTTCCATTTAATATTAGGGTCTTCACACATTAAACTCCTTACTTTTAACAGGATTTTGTTTCAGAAGACTGAACTAAGGCAAGTCAAAAGGTTGTAGACTTTGATTCAAAAGGAATGACTTCTAACTATGAGAACTATCAATGAATCATTTATAAGAATGAACCTCATGGCACCAGGGCAATCAGAGATTGAGAAACCATCTTCTAAGGGGCAGCAGAATACAATCCTCTCATGGTAAGACAGACCTTCTAAATCTAAGGCTCTAGGATTATTTTTATGGTTATTACCTTTCCCACTCTGGAAAATCTTCAAGACTCTGTCTTGTAAATGTCACCAACCCAGTAGGTTCTACAAAAGCAATAAAAAAAAAAAACACACACACACACTCAAAATAAGTTTTAATTTTAAAAAGATCATATATATTCAGTAAAAGAATGGGTCTAACTATGGCTATAAAACTAGTCAAGAAATACCAAGCCTAGTGTTGGAATACAACAGAAGATTGATTTAAAATAATATTATCCTTACATTAGAACCCCCTTCAATAAAATAGTAAGTCCTTGCTAAATAAAACTATATAAATAACAGCACCACAGTAGGATTTGCTTGCCAGTACTTTTGGTGTTGTTTTCTAAAATGAATACACTTTAAAAAAAATCCTTGTTTTTTTAAAAAAGATGCATAATTGGTGTAGGTTATGCAATTAAGACAAAACTGAATTCTAATCTGTAGATTCCTTCTCAAAGAAAAGCCTTAACCCTATACCCAAAAACTAGCGAACGGATATACATTTATGTGATTTAAAGTAAAATAAAATGTTTAAGATTAAAAAAGAAAATCATTGCCATGTCCTTTGGAGTTAACACAGCTAAATCTTGGGCTTAAACAATAAGCAATTGCTCTACTTATAAGTAGATGCCTTAGCCAGAAGGAGGAATTACTGTGTTCTAGGAGTTTAGAGAAGAAAGATTACATGTCTTTCAAGGAGCAACAGACCTGAGAGGATCAAAATGAAATACTATTGACACAGCAAATAATTTTAGACGATCTTTTTTTTTTTTTTTTTGGTTAAATTTATTTTATTTTATTTTATTTCTTTAAGCCAGTGGCAAAAACAACAAATAAATCAGCTGTCCAGAAGCAATTTGTTTGATTCAAATCCAAGAAAAAACTAAAAAGATCAGGCCATTTCTGTTTTCTTCTGTTTAAAGGAAAGCTCTTAGGCAGAGAGAGATATGTCAGAAACTATTAGTGATAATGGTGGCACAGTCTCAATGAAAGACTAGCAATCCTTTCATTCCTAAGGACGAGTCCACACTTCTTTGTTCTCACTCACAAACAGTAACAACTCAAAAATGGTATGGATTGTAACTCTGGGAAGATGGCGGTATAAACAGACCATCATTTTGACCCTCCCCCACAAACATAACAAGAAATACAACAAGGAAGCAGCACTCAGCTTTGAGGGACCCTGAATCAGGGAGCAGAGGAAAGCAGCGAGGAACTGCAGACAGGCAAGAATCACTGAATAAACTATGAATCGCATATGGTAGGAATCACTTTTCCCACGGCCTCTGCCTCTCCCCCTAGCCACGCAGGCTGCCGGCTGCTGTGAACAGGGGGAAGTGGCCCCAGAAAAGGAGCCTGCTTCCCTAACCACCACAGCCCCTGCCGGTACAAAGAGACAGAACTCCAAGCTTCTGTTCTAGAATCAACAAGGCAGACCTCCTCGAGGGTCCACCTGGAGTGAGCCAGCACCTCCTCCACCTGGACACTGTCGACAGTAAGCCTACAGGCATTGCTACAGAAAGCCGGTGCAGTGGAGGCTGTTCTCACAGTTAGCACTCTGTTAGCCTCCCTGCACACCCCATAGCTCAGGCTTCTGAAACCAAGGGACAGACGTCCCTGTGAATCAGTTTCGGTCTCTCTGTTCCCCCTTCCAGGTGGTGCTGAGGACTGCTGACTGAGGCTGCTGTGTGCTAGGAAGTAGGCATTTTGACTGGCAGCTACACCCACAGCCAACATACTATGGAGCGGGTTCTGACAGTAACAAGGCAGACTTCCCTGGGGGTCCATTTGGAGTGTGGAAACCCCTCCCCCAACTGGTAACAGTTGACGCTGGACTGATACGAACTACTACAGAAGGTTCCTTAAAGTGGAATCAGGAGGGGGGTCACCTAAGTGGAGACTGCTCCACCACAGGGACACTGGGGCTCCGAAATCAACACCACAGATCTCTCAGAGGTCCTTCTGGGGAGTAACAGTCCTGCTGAAATGGAGGAAAGTCTGCCTGTGCTTCCCCTGAATGCCAGTTCAGATGTAAGCAGCTCCCACAGAGCAGGGAAGGAAGCCTCAGGCAAAATCAGAGGGCAACAGCCAGCCCTGAAGGGGACTCATTGGGTGCGGGTTTTCTGACTAAAAATGTGGTTGCAGAAACAGACAAGAGAAGAGAGTAATAACCACACAGAGAGGACTGCAACCCCTGGTGGAAAGATTGATTAGTACATGATATCTTGCCTGAGTGGTATAGGGCCCAATAGTAGAGACTGACCACAGTGTGTTCTCTGGTGTGTTTGGGACAGATTGCAAGTTGAAAATGGAGATCTGGAACTTTCAAATCCTAATTAAACCAAGGAGAGAGAAGGAGCTATCACAGAAAGAAGAAGAAATGGTAAGCAAAGGTTGACGGCTTTCCCCACCTAAGAGTTTTTTGCAGAAACTAGTATGGGCAAAAATACCATACACTGGGGAAAACTGACTAAGTTAACACCCTTGAAAATTCTAATGCCCCAACAAAAAATCATAAGACACACAAAGAACAGAGACACAATGGTCCATTCAAATGAACATGAGAAAGAGAGTGAAAGCACATCTAGGGATGACAAAATAATGAAAACAATGGAAGAATATAACACAGCAACATTAAATATAATTAAAGAACTAAGGGAAAACGTAGACAAAGAGCTAAATGACTAAAACTACAAAGAATAAAATAAGGATCTAAAAAAAGAAATATTGCAACTGAAAGGGACGATAACTGAAATGAGAAACACAACACAAAACTTACCAACAGGTTTAATCAGACAGAAGAAAGAATCAGTGAATAAGAGGATAAGACAGTTAAAATTACAGATGCTGAGAAGTAACAAGAACACAGTTTAATGGAATTATGGGACAACAACAAGAGACCCAATATATGCATCATGGGAATTCAGGAAAGAGATGAGAGAGAAAAGGACAGAAAGAATATTTGAAGAAATAATGACAGAAAAGTCCAATCTAACAAAGGACATGAATCTACAAATCCATGAAGCTCAGACCCCAAGCAGGATAAACTCAAAGAAATCCTCACCAAGGCACATCACAGTTAGGCTCAAAAAGTAAAGATAAAGAGAGAATCCTGAATGCAGAGAGAGAGAAGCAAACAGTCACATGCAAAGAATCCCCCATAAGATTAAATGCCAATTTCTTCTCAGAAACACTGGAGGCCAGAAGGAAATGGAATGACATGTTTAAAGTGCTGAAGAAAAAAAAAAGTCAACCACGAATACTATACCCAGCAAAACTATCCTGCAAGAATGAGGGTGACATTAAAACATTCCCAAACAGGGGCTGAGAAAGTTCATATCCACCAGTCCAGCCCTACAAAAAATACTAACGGGAGCTCTGTAGATAGAAGGGAAAAAGTAATTCAAAGCCATAGGTAAAAAGAATGATCCCTAATAAAGGGAAATGCATGGACAAGTATAAGGGCTAGTAATAAGGTATTCATGCTTAATAAATCTGGAATGTTTTGTCCTTCATTTTTTAAATAACAAATATATAAAAAGCAGGGATAAAATTATGTTACAGTGCACATCAAATATAAAGACATAATTAGTGATGACAACAACAAAAGGAGGGAGAGTAATAGTATAGAAATAGCATTTCTTTTGTTATTAAAGTTAAGTTAGTACCAACTTACCCTAGAATGTTAAGAATCAAGTTGTTAAGTGTAATATTCATGGTAAACACCATGAAAATATATTATAAAACACACAAAAGAAAGGAGAAGGGAACCAAAAAGGTCCACTATGAAACAAAACATAAAATCAAGCAGTTGTGAAGGACAAAGAAAAGAGACACACAAAAAACAAACAAGAAAATGGCACAAATAAGTCACTTCTTATCAGTAATGACAGTGAACGTAAATGGACTAAATGCTCCAATCAAAAGGCAGAGAGTGGCAGAATGGATAAAAACAACTATATGCTATTTACAAGAGACATAACCTTAAACCGAAGGACACATATAGATTCAAAGTTAAAGGATGGAAAAAATATTCCATGCAAATAATAACCAAAAGACTGCTGGGGTGCCAATCTTAATATCAGACAAAATAGACATTCAAACAAAATCTGTTACAAGAGATGAAGATGGTGACAGTGATAAAAGGGTAAATTAATCAAGAAGATTTAACAATATTAAATATATATGCATCCAACAACAGGGCACCTAAATATATAAAGCAAACACTGATAGAATTGAAGAGAGAAAGACAGTGCTACAGTAATAATTGGAGACTTCAATATACCACCTTCAATGTTGGACAGAACATCTGAAAAGAATACCAACAAGGAAACAGAGGATTTGAATGACACTATAAGCCAACTAGACTTAACAGCCATATATAGAACACTCTACCCCAAAACAGCACAATATATATTCTACTCCAGTAAACAGGGATCATTCTCCAGGGCAGACCATATGTTAGCTTACAAAGCAAGTCTTCATAAATTTAAAAAGATTGAAATCACATAAAGTATTTTCTCTGACCACAATGGAGTGAAGCTAGAAATCAATATCATAAAAAAAACCTGGAAGATACACAAACATATGGAAATTAAACAACACACTACTAACCTACCAATGCATCAAGGAAGAAATCAAAAGAGAAATCACAAATTTGCTACAGTCAAATAAAAATGAAAGCCCAACATATCAAAACTTATGGGATGCAGCGAAGGCAGTACTCAGAGGGAAACTGACAGCAATAAATGCCTACATGAAGAAAGAAAAGATCTCAAATCAACAGCCTAACTTGACCACTCCACGAACTAGAAAGAGAGCAAACTAAGCTTAAATCTACCGGAAGAAAGGAAATGACAAAGAGCAGAGCAGAAATAAATAAAACTGAAAACAGAAAAAACAGAGAGAATCAATAAAACCAGAAGTTGGTTCTTTGAAAAGATCAATAAAATTGACAAACATTTAGCCAGACTGACAAAGAAGAGAAACGACACAAATAACCAAAATAAAAAAAGAGGGAACGTTACAACTGACCTGATAGAAATAAAGAGAATTATGAC